CGTGGCTTCTCGCTATGATGCACGGTCGTGGAGAAAATCCACAGAGAAGAACAGGTGTGAATTTGGACGCACTATGCATCGTTTGGGCCCATAGGGTTAAGCAAGACAGTAGCTCATATCAGTTATGATATCATCCGTGAACATCATACAGTCCGCAAAGTTGATACGAAATTGCTACCGCTGGAGATTCTCGTACTAGCCACCATACCAGAGAAGCAGAAGCGGGGGAAGTGGGCAGGCCTGCAGGCTAGCCTCAAGGCTAGCCTGTACGAAACCAGCACTAGCAAGCCTCTTCCTTGTGAACGCAAGGTCACTCGTCAATAAGCTGGATGAGATCAGAGCGAGAATCATGCCCTGCTCTATGACTATCGTCATGGAGACCTGACTCAAGGAAAACATACCAGACACAGCTATCCAGCTAGTGGGCATGGTGGAGAGACACTGCTGTCCTGACCTGGAGCTCCTAGTGGTAAAGTTCAGACCTTTCTTTTTGCCAAGGGAATTCACAAACATAATAACCATGGCAATTTACATCCCCCCGCAAGCTAAAGCTAACTTAGCTCTGGAGAGGCACCAGTAAACATCTCACTATGCACCTGGACAGTGTGGTCATTGTAGCAGTGGATTTTAATCATGTAGACTTAAAACTGGTCATACCTAAAGTCCACAAGAATGTGACATTTGGCACACGAGAGGACAATATACTCAACCAAGTATACACCAATATTCCAGGGCAATATATTCAAGGCAATCCCGTCTGCAAGCGTAGGTCTGTCAGACTACATTTCTCTCCTTCTGACCTCAGTTTACAGACCACGGATGTGCAGAGTTAAACCCACCATCAAATCAGTGCAGGTATGGACTCAGGAAGCCACTTCAATGCTGCAGGACTGTTTTGATAACACAGACTGGGGTGTGTTTGCAGTGGGAGCAGAACTGGATGAATATGCTGGTTCTGTCCTGGGACGTATTAACTTCAGCACAGAAAAGGTCACCAACAAAGAACAATTGAAGTGTTTTCCAATCAGAAGCCATGGTTCAATGCAAATGTGAGAGTACTGCCACAGGAACAGGATGCAGCCTTTAGGTCAGGGGATAAGGAGTCCTACAATAGAGCATGGGGAATCTCCGCAGAAGCAACAGGGATGGAAAGTGGAAGTACAAACAGTGCACTGAAGAACACTTCAATAACTACAACTCCCACAGCATGTGGAATGGCATGGAGGTACTGACAGACTACAAGACCACCATCCTGCTGCCTGATGTTGATGTTACACTGTCTGACTCCCTAAACAAGTCCTTCCCCCACTTTGACACCCAGAGGGAGGAGATGGCTCCACTCTTCACCTCAGCCAATGGTGAGCTAATGCTGGTCCTCGAGCAGCATCAGGTGAGGACCGTACTGAGGGGAGTCAACGTGAGCAAGGCAGCTGGCCCAGATGAAGTGCCCGGGCAGGTATTAAAAGTTTGTGCTGACCAGCTTACAGGAGTGTTAATCAACATATTTAGCCTGTCATTACAACAAACTGCTGTCCCAACATGCCCGAAAACCTCTATGATTATCCCTGTGCCCAAAATACCTGCTGTGACATGTCTAAATGACTACCGTCCTATGGCACTTACACCTATTGTCATGAAGTGCTTTGAGAGGCTGGTGCTCTCACACATTAAGACTGTAATTCCACCTGATCTGGATAAGCACCAGTTTGCATACAGGACTAACAGCTCCATAGAGGACAACATTACAACAGCCCTCCATCTCGCCCTGACACACCTGGAGACACCAAACATCTATGTGCAGATGTTATTTGTGGACTTCAGTTTTGCATTTAACACGATCATCCCTGCTCAACCTGGGCCTCAGTTTCTCCCTGTGTTCTTGGGCCATTGATTTCTTCACACCGACCACAGCAAGTTAGAGTGGGTAAGTACATCTCCTCCACCCTTACTCTCAGAGCTGGTACCCCCCAGGGCTGTGTGCTAAGTCCAGTGTGCTTTACACTGTTCCCCCATGACTGCACCCCCATCCACTCCTCAAACACCATATTCAAATTTGCTGTTGACATGGCAATAGTGGGCCTGATCTCTGAGGATGATGAGACGGCCTACAGACGTGAGGTGGACCATCTCACTCAGTGGTGTGGAGACAATGACCTGGTCCTCAAACCAAGGAGATGGTCATTGACTGGAGGACTAAGGTCAGTGCACACACCCCCCTCCACAAACATGGGAAGACAGTGGAGGTGGTGGAAAAACTGAAGTTCCTGGGAGTCATACTGTGGAACCAGCTGACTGGACCCACAACACTTCACAGCTGGTCAAAAAAGCTTAGCAGAGTCTCTCTCTTCTGACAAAACTGAAGCGGACCAAAATACCTCAAAAACTTCTCCTAAAATTCTACAGAAGCACTATTGAGTCCCCCAGCAGCGCCACAGTGTGGTATGCCAGCTGCACAGGCGCAGAACGTTACAGCCTCCATTGTGTGGTGAAGGCGGCCCAGCACATCATCAGGTTGAAGCTCCCTGGACTGGACATTATTTACACCAACAATCTCAAAAAGAAAGCCCACAGCATCCTCGAAGACATTACACACCCTGGCCACTCCATGTTTGAATTGTTACCATCTGGCAGAAGGTTCAGAACAATCACATCAAAAACCAATAGACTGAATAACAGCTTCTATCTAAGAGCTGCGGCCTCCATTGCTCTACCATAATACACAGGGTTAAACATGCACTATCACTTCTGCTGCTATTATTTTATTTTATTTTAAAGTTGCACTGACACTTTTACTGCACTCACACTTTAACTGCACTGACACTTTTTATTGCTGCTGCTCTTAACTTTTTATGTGTGTGTTTGTGTGTGTGCATTTCTAATTGTTCTTATTGGAAGTCAGATGGAATTCCATTGTACATTTTGTGTAATGATAATAATTAATTGATCAATCAATTCATTCATTCATTCCTTCATCCATTTGGTTGAGCATGACTCAGACTTACAAAATTATTTAGCATACAAAGAATGGATAACATTAAATGTACTATTTACAACAACCAATGATCAGAAGTTTATTTTATTATCTCTCCACTACATTTATCATAAAGGGACACATGAACCATTTAGTAGAGCATGTTTAAAAAAAATAAAAATATATGAAACGACATAAATCAGTTAAGTAGGATGTCTCAAACTATAACACATCAAAAAAATATGCCTTCTTTTGAAAATCCCACTACATAGAGCCCTCATGTCTGGAGTGATGTTTTTGTTACTAACTTCCTGTAGGAGGCAAACTGAAAAGGTTGACTATTATCATCTAGTGGATTTTTTTTTCAACATGATATACTTAAACAGAAAGGTAGAGATTGCTCAATCAGGTTGAGTTTAGTTCAACACATTTCTCATTAGTGGCTCAAAATGTGCTTTACTCACAGTTGAGCTGATTCTCTGTGTGATGCTTCATTACGATGAGTACAAAAAGACAGGAGAAAGCCATTAGAGCTAACAGAGATGGAATGGAGATAGAGGGAAGACAAGAAAGTGATACACAGAGGAGGAGGTGACAGGGAGGAGGAACTGTGACCTGCAATCACTTCTGTTAGTTTAGACCTCATCAACCTGAGTGAAAAACTACAGTAACTTCCCTCTCACTTTGTCCTCCTTCCTGTCTTTTTTCTCCTTTGTCACCTTATCGGGATCCCACTGCTGGCTGATTGGTCATACAGTATGAGTGAACATGATTGTTCTAAACTGGAAAAGAGAGACCACTTCCACTGATGAGGGGAAGGGTACCTCCCTCTGAGAATCAAACCACTTGGTGCGGCAGCATCCGGATGGCAGCACTGGGGTTTCTCCCACATGAACATTCACATTCACACACGCACACACACACACACACACGCACACACACACACACACACACACACACACACACACACACACACACACACACACTCATCATCTCTGACTCTCTCATTCCTCTCTCTCCAATCTTTCCTCTCACTCTTTTTTTCTCCCTCCTCCGTCTGTTTGTTGTGCTCCACCTCCCTGGGCTGCACCTCCCTGAGTGCATTAATCAGTCAAGCCACAGTACCACAGCTATTACTCATCTGGTCAGAATGAGAGAGAGAGAGAGAATGACAGAATGAGAGAGAGAAAAGTGGGAGAGCTGGAGAAAAGGAAAGAAAATGGAGAAGTGCAGAGAGGTAGCTGTTCTGTATTCATTCATCTTCCGATATCTCCTCTCACCTCAAGGCTTTTCATCTCTCTAACCATCCATCCATTCATCCATCCATCCACTCATTCAGCCAGCAACCAGCCATGCATCCATTCATTCACCTATTTATAGATGCCACCAACTCCCCAGCCTCCCACCTACAGTAATCATGCATCTATCTTTCTGTCCATCTTTCCATTTCCCCTTTCACCTCGCTCCCCATCTTCTATCCATCTCTCCTTCTCCCTGTCTACACCTCTCTCTATCTTTTTTTCTTTCCTCATTTATCCATTTCATATTTTTCGCTCCCTTTTGGAGAACATGGCATTCCCAAAAAGAAAATATTGGGGGGGGGGGGGATGGGGGGCTTGTTTTGCTGCTCTGCAATGTGGTAAGGCAGACGTAGGGGGAATTATTTATTCAAACTCAAGGACAAAGAAGAGCTTTCAGTCTTTCCCTCTTTTTGCTTTTTTATAACAACAGTAAGAATCTACAGCCATGCTAGCAGCTCTGCACTGCAAAAAAGCCAACTTGTATTATTTAGCCTAAAACAGTCATTTAAGTTGGTTAAACTTGAAAATATAAATTATTGACATTTGAGGCAATAATATTAGTAAGCACAACAAAGCAAGCCAGTTGTTTGCTCCAAAAAAATTTGGTGAGTTGGTAATACTTGTATCTTGAAGTTGGAGTTAAACACAAGGGACAACAGTTCCAACAGTTCTGCAAACTCTTATTTCTTTGTTGTGAAATGGGGGAAAGCCAACTTTCTGAGTTGGCACTTGAAGTCTCATTGTGGCTGTGTTGCCTCTAGCTGGAGTCCACACAGGTAAGCAACCTTTAATTAAATAAAGTTAAAATGATACGGGAATTTTATTCTGAGCTGTGTTGTGCAGTATTGTACGTTGTTTGATGGAGAAGGTGACCTACACATTTTCAACATACAAACACAAACAGCTTTTCAGTCATTAGCGAAAGCTAGCGGCTAACTGATGCTAGTGGTGCTGCATCAGTTAGCCGCTGGAGTTTAAGAAGAGGAATAAGAATGTTGCACTCATCAGACAGAAGATGGAGCTGACTTTCTCCTTAAGGCGTAAGGAGATCGTGGAGCTGCAGCCTATGGTGTCAGAGGCTCTGGAACGGTGGCCTGCTCTGTTTTGTGAGGCAGAGGTAAGCAGGTGAACCAAGAATATATTATGTTGTGTTTATGGTTTAGTCTTCTTTAAAAGTGAGTAGAAGAGTTATGTGTGTTGATTACAATGCATATTTTAACATGAAGATGGTGCTGAAATTGTATTGACTTTGTATTGAGGATTTAAATTTCCTGTTCACATTTTTCAACAGATAAGGGAAGAGTTTTATCGCATCACAAACAAGAACCTAATGGACAACTTCAGAGCAGCCCTTCATCAGCACACTTGGATGCTCCTGAGACTCTATCGGGTAAGGAGGACAGCTTTTTCATCTGAGATGGATCAGCTCCTTAACAGCCTGGATCAAGAGGTGAATTCTAGATGTAGTAATTTAATAACTCTGAACATTATGGATATAAAATGAATTTTGTCTTGACTATGATGCTGTAGTCATTTTGGTTGCAATTGTTGCAATTGTAAGTGATCCTTGTAGTGACAAACCCTCATAATAAATGCATGGGTATCTAAGGGACTGACACAATAGCACAAACAAGCGAACCAATTCAGGGAGTGGTTGATCAAAGACATAAAATTACTGAGATACAGTGGTTCTTTCTTGTTAAACAAAGGGTATCTTAATCTTTAAATAAAAAAAAGATCTTGTTCTGTAGGGATCCTTTTCATAATGTTGTCAGACACTGATAATATTAGTCTGTCAGTGACACAAAAAGCACTTACCCTTTAAAAGGAGTAAACCTTTGACGTGAAATCACCAGGAATTTTCTGGATATGGAAGGACAGCTGCTTGCATGTTTACTCTACTTTATATATGTCAGTTACATCTTGTAATGTTTCATGCAACTCTTTGTTTCAGACATCTGACATCACTGCACATCGACAAACTGCAGCAATGAAGGGCCTTCCCTTGTATCTCCGTGACAGTCAGGAGAAGCTCTTCAGGAACTGTCTTGTGAGTGGTTATAAATAGAAATTGTAAATATGTTATCATACTGTATTTATAGTGCTGTATTTAATGTTGACTTCAACCATTACCTCTCTGTCCTCCTTGTTCCCTTCATCTTTCCCAATGTCCAGAGTGTCTTCAGTAGTTGTACTGTCCTGGCTATGACTTGATGTAGCCTAATTGATGTCAGTTGATGTGTGTATGGGGGTTCAATTTTTAACTGTGCGGTATGGGATGGAAATAGTTAATGTCAAACTCATAATTAATTCTGTTTGTAAAAAAATGTTTATTCAATAACTTGGAATTATTTTAGCGTAATACTGTAGCTTATTCTGATTCTAATGACTAATGACTAATGTCTTGCACCTCATGTGTTGGTCTTTTCCTGTCTGTCAACATAAGGACACTGACCCAGAAGAGGAGCAGACGAAGGGCCTCACTGTGGGTATCCTCACTGTGTTGGGGGTTGATAACAGCGCAGCTCCTCAAAGTGTCGTGAGTGTTGCTGTTGTTGTGGAAGAAGAGATTGTCCTTCAAGATCTCCCTGACCTGCCAACTGCTTTTGCTTACCTCTTTGGACTGATCTATGCTTTAAACCTTAAGTACCCAAAAGATCTCAGGTACACATTTGAAACTGTTCAGAAGGTTTTCATGGAACTTGGTACAGACCTCTCTGCAAGGGTCAGATCCCTCAAAAACAAACTCCTTCAGTGAATCCAGTTAACTGATATTGTTGGATCTGAAATTGTTGACCTGTGAAAGTTCCCTTCTGTCCAGCCAACACCATGTTAATTTACTCTTCCTGTTACTCACACTCAACTCTGATGTACCTCGAACTCCCGGTCTCAAAATAATCAGCAAATTCTTTTTTGTAACTCTGCTCAATACTATGTGACAATTTACAAATACTGTATCTTAACATGTAACATGTTTAGGGAAACCCAATAAAGTGCAAAATAAATGTAAGAGTGGAAGTTTACAAGTATACAATGTAGCACAAGTTGACTGCTAGGACTGGGACAATTGGGTCTCACTAGTTTGCATTTACTTGGCCCTGCTGGAAGGGATTTGATGCTGGTACAGTTTAAATAAAACAAATGTTTTGAATGTATATGTTGCATCTGTAATTATTTATACATTTGATTAGAAGTTATTGGTTCTAAATTATAAAGTTGAGTTACATTATAAACTATTGCAGTGTGCAATTTTAAATTTCTCTTAAATTATTCTGCTATACTAACTTAACCACATTTAAGTTGATTCTGTAAGAATTCAGAGTTATTACAATGTAAAATTATAAGTTAGTACAATTTACAGAAGAGTTAGCAGAAGTAAGGATTAAAAGTTATTACAATGTAAAATTATAAGTTAGTACAACTAACAGTTGAGTTGACAAAAATCAGAATTCAGAGTTGAGCAAACTCAAAAGCAAAACTTAAAATATTTAGTTTAACTGCCCAACTTAAAATTTTAGCGAAGTTTGTTGCCTTAAAATTTTGAGTTCACCCAACTTTTCTTTTTTTGCATTGTGTGAGGCTGTGTTTGGACAAAGCACCCATTTAAGCTAAATGCTAACATCAGCATGCCAATGCTAACATGCCAGTGCTAAGCAGATATGATGTGTATATGTTCACCATGCCAGCATGCTAACATTAGCTAATTAGCTCTAATCACAGCTGAGGCTGATGGCAGTGACCATTATCTTTTTAATATTTAGTATTTTGTTATAAACATCTAACATTCTTAGAGCTGTAAGTCAGCAATGCAACAGTAAATCAGTGCTTCATTTATACAAGTTCAAAGTGCTGGGTTAAAGAGCCAATGGAATGAATTAAGACAAGAGTCTACAGTCATGCTGTGAGGCGTTGCTTAAGGCCAGAGGTGATAGAGGCATATTCAGCAGATCACCAATCTCATTAACACAGTTGTCCACCAATGTTGTTAGATTCTGATATTTGGTTGAATTTAGGTTGCGATGTCAGGCCATGACAATGTCTAATGTCAGTGTTAATGTAGAATACTGATGACTCATGATATTGACATTTTGTTGATTTTAAGTTGTGTTGTTAAACAACCCAAATCCAATGTCTTTCATTGGTCTCAATGTCATTTTGACTTAAAAAAAATGACAGTCATATGGTGTGGAGAATAAAACCAAATGTCTGCAAAACATCATAATGTTAACATACACACAACTTGAAATTCTAACATTGTTAGACATGTAAAATATTGTCAATCCAATTTTCATTCCAACCAAAATGTAACGTCTGTCTGACGTAGGAGTCCAATCTCTATCTGATATCATGTTGATGTCCAGTGCCAACTAGGAAGATACATTATCTGGGGACAATGGATATCAGTACAGAACTTTACAGCAATTCATCTTCTAGTTGTTGAGATATTTCAGTGTGGACCAAAGTCATAGACTGACTGACTGACCAACCGACTAACCTGCAGACAGACTAACACATTATCCATAGAGCTATGCTGTGTGGCCACTCTCACAGCATAGAGCTATGCTGTGAGAGTGGCCAAAAATGTACATACTGGAGCCTGCAGGCCATACTTTCAAACTCTATTAAGGGTTATCACATAACTGATATAAAAAGATAACACCAATTAGAAGTGGTCAGTTATAGGCTTACAGTCAAAATCTGTGAACACAAATAATGTCATGTCTCATGGAAGTAATAGCAAATGGAACAGATGGATTTACAAAGCAAATGATTTCTTGCCAACTCTCTCTAAAGGTTACTGTGCAGGCAGTAAGCAATCAAGCTATAGCCTTCCCAACTGTTACATTGTAGTGCTTCGTTCCATGCCATAATGTGTGTGTCCAATTCATGCACATGCACATTTCACATGCCTAACAAGCCTTAAAGTAGGCTCCACCCGACTCAAGTTAACAGGGCTAATGCAAGTGACCTAAAACTGTACATGCATGGACACACATGTACACCACATTCTGGGTAGGAAGCTTACAGTTACTAACATAAAGGCTTAGTGAGGTCAGACTAGTGATATTCAGATGTACTTTCAGTGCTGCCACAACAAGCTCATACGTTCATGAACAAGAGGAGAGAGAATGAAAAACAGCAGCAGGCAGAACAACTGACATTTTCATTTCATTATTTTGACTGACGCCCTCATTCTAAGCAACTTAATTGGAATGCAACAGTAGAATTTGCAAATTCCTACCAAGAGGAATTACAACAAATATGAAATATAGACAGGATACTTGAGGAGAAATTGCAGAAATAGGAGAGGGGGGATGAAGGAGGTAGACAGCCACTGGGAACCTCTGGAACCACAGCCAGACTGGGAATGAATCGAAGTGGGGGGTTGAATGGCCAGCGGTGGTGGAAAAGCAGAGCATGCTGGTGTGTGTGGACCTGGACAGCAGCCTGTAGTGTGCATGTGTGGATCTCTTTGCAGCCTTGTTTGCCAGCAGCAGGATTTTGCATTCAACCCAAGCAGCCAGTGGAGGGACTGTATGAGGGGGATAACATTGGAGGGTCCGGGGAGGTGACAAGAAGACGAGGTGTGTTGTGGTGTTCTGGATGAGTTGTAGGGACTGGGAGGAGTGGGGCTGCAGAGGGAGTTGCAGTAGCCCAGACAGTAGATGACTAAGTTTGAATGAAGAGCTGGACACATACTCTGGCGGGGAGAGGTCTGATATTGTATTTGTAGTAAAACATCAATATTGTTGAGGCTGAATTTAAGGTGCTGGACTGACATTCAACTGCCGATGTCAGGGAAGCAAACAGATATGCATGGCTCCACGAGAAGCATACAAATAGAGCTACAGATATCAAATTTAGTGAAGTGATCCTGAATGTGAGGCGACACACTAAGCACAGATGATTAATATACTTAAAAAGCAGTGATATTAGGGCCCAATCCCAATTCCTATCTTAACCTTCAATCTTAATTCTCAAGCTCAACCCTCAATCTCACTAGCCCTCATAACCAAGTGTTAAGGGCTATCTTGTGACTTTAAAATGGGACACCCCTCAAAGGCAAATACGTCTTAAGACTGTCAGGGGCAGCAATATGCCAAAACTCCATCCAGTCTGTCAGTTCAAAGAAGAAGAAATATATGTCATCAGTAGTCGTCGATAAAAAGACGTGATGAGTTTTTTTTTTCCAACACTTTATTTCAATTCTTGTACAAAACAAGCAGTGACAGACATGAACAGAACAAATATGCCAGGGTTAAGAGAAAAGAAAAAGAAATAAAATAAACAAATAAATAAATAAAAAAGTTCAGCAGCTCAAACAATTAAATTGTTTACATATTTTCAGAGTCTTTATAGCTCTGGAGTTTGTGGAGTGCTGAATGGTTTCTAAGTATTGCTGCATTTCATTCATAAAAATTTTGAACAAGGGTTTTCTGTTACAAAATTTTCTCTTATGAATATAGAATTTCGCTAAGATAATAGATAGATTAATGATATAGAATTGTTTCTGTTTTTGAAATGCTGACATCATAAAATCCAGACAGCACATCTTTGTACAGTAGTGAAAATAGAACATACATGTTCCAACGAATATACTCGACAAAATCTTCCCAAAAAGTGACAGTATAGGGGCAGCTCCAAAACAAATGTACAGTTACCAAACAACAATCTTCGACAATGCCGTCTGCAGCTGTGCTGATTTCATATTGAAACAGAATGCTTGATCATTAGGGGAACAGTTGCCATTGTGACTGAGAATTATGTTATGAATATAAACAGTTCACAAGTTACAAATTACTCACTCCCATAGTTTTTTTGGAGCCTGCTTGCTTTTTGTAAACTCGTCTTCATTGGTGGCCCTGAAATGAATCAGGGTTTGTGTTTTGTGTGGTGGCCCTGAAATGGAACAGAGATAACAACATTACTTTTTTTTATTTTTTACTTTTTTGGGCTACTTGTCAGATGTTCGTTAAGTTATTAGTTTAGTTTCATGCAGTATTGCAAGTATTATCACAATGAATACTGTAGTCAACATCCAGCAGAACTGGTGAGGCTGTTTACACAGTCACACGTCTTATCTGGTGACTTTCATCCACATTAACGTTTCACTCTTTGTGTTATAAGTTGATATTCAACCAAATAACCTGTACCACAACAACCGACGTAACTTATTCAGCGGAAAGTCACCAGATAATATGATCACTAATGTTCGGCTGAGCTCGGCGGATGATACACAAAGGACTCTGGGATAGCACTTACTGCCAAGGGTGGTCCTGGAAAATCTTAAAAGTGAGGGCCATACAGCCCTTATTCTTGACTCTCAACTCAACACTCTGAGAATCGGGACAGCACTAGCACTTCGCAGGAGCGCAGATTTTTGAGACTGAGGGTTAAGATTGAGGGTTAAGATAGGAATTGGGATTGGGCCTAAATGTCTTTCCTTCCTGCAAGCATTTCTGTTTGTATTTCCCTTGCCGGGACTGTAAATAGACCATGTACTTGTGTACAAATTAGAGCCCCCCCCTTTAAACCCACAGCTCAAATAATATGCATGAGAGGAAATTAATAAATAACGAATTGCCTTCAGGATATCAACACATTCAATACTTCCTTCCTTGAACACACAGAAAGAGTTGCCTGCCCCAGGGATAAACTTGACATATTTAGTTTTTCTAAAATTAATGATTTCCCACACACAGACAGCTAATAATGGTTCGCCAGACGGTGATTGAGAGGAAACTGCCAGAATGCCCTGTTCTGCAGTTTACATTTTGTTTCTTTATTTTTACTCGGCTTTGAACTCCACCCACTCCCCTGCTGCTGACAAATCCCAAGAGAGATGGTGAGCCACACAGCAAGATAGTCATGATTATCTCCTTCCTTTTTGTGATGTCATAAGTGCTGTTTATTTCTAAAGTGAGCGTGTGTGTGTGTGTGTGTGTGTGCACGTGCGTGCGCGTGAGTGTGTTTGCATATATATATATATATATATATATATTTTATATGTATATATATATACCAATCACAGAAACTGTTTGCAGCCATGGTTTAACATTATTTAGTATTTAAATATGAATCCATCTGTTTG